TACACATCTGTACACATCACTACACATCTGCACACATCACTACACATCTGCACACAACACTACACATCTGCACACAACACTACACATCTGTACACAACACTACACATCTGTACACATCACTACACATCTGTACACATCACTACACATCTGTACACATCACTACACATCTGCACACAACACCACATCTGCACACAACACTACACATCTGCACACAACACTACACAGCTGCAGTGAACACGCACGCTTATTTGTGCACGGTAGTGTCACTGAGTCACGAGGACTCGTTTACAGGAGAGGCCTGTTTCAGACACAACACATATAAGGTACAATAAGCAACACGCGCACACGCAGTGCCTTGTATGTTCCATCAGAGCTGGTTAGTTACTGGATCAAGTCTTTATGGTCAAATTCAACCCAGTGACCGGATCATGAAGCTCCACGTTGGCACCAGTACATACCAGTTACATGAAATATTATCAGCAGGAAAACAAAACCTCCTTCATCTGCATCATCCGGTGATTTAAAGAAAAGGTCAGTAACTTTATTAACGTTTAGAAACCAATAAAAAAAACACCAGTTAGCAGCTGGAAGCACCGTTAGCCTGAAATAAACATGCGACATCCGAGCAAGACTTCACGTGACACATGAGAGCAAACATGGCTCACACGTGACACATGAGAGCAAACATGGCTCACACGTGACACATGAGAGCAAACATGGCTCACACGTGCCCATCCCGTGTGAACAAAGTGTGACTTCCTGCAGCTCGCGTGAGACGGTCAGTACCTGCGCGTGCTGCAGCGACCTGTCCCCGTGTTGACGACACGAACTCAGAAAACAACTAATGTCTTCTGAACATAAAACTGCAGGATGTCTCTAATGTCTCTGTTGATGTCTCTGGTGTCTCTGTTGATGTCTCTGGTGTCTCTGGTGATGTCTCTGATGTGTCTATGACTCCATTTTGAACCCTTCTGAGCTCGACGCTTCTTCTTCTTCTTCTGCTTCTTCTTCGTCTGCTTCTTCTTCTTCTTCTTCTTCTTCTTCTTCTTGTTTTATTGGCGCTTCAAACAACTGAAGGAGACTTTACCGCCACCAACTGGTAAGGACCGTGAACCACATGACAAAAATAAATCTCTTTCCTTTTATATCCTATTTTACAACCTACACTGTTTTAAAAAATAAAATATAGCTTGATAGCCTCTGTTTCCTGAATCTTTCTGCAATAATTCAATAATGTCTAGTGTCATTTTACTAAGATGTCTAATCAACTTGTTTATTTGAACCTGGTATTTCCTGCAATGTAAAATAATGTGTTCTATGGTTTCCTCTTCTCCACACTCACATGTCCCTGTCTCATGTTTCCTTATTAAACATAATGTGCTGTTCAGTCCAGTGTGCACAATTCTGAGTCTTGAAATAATTGTTTCTTCTCTCCTGTTTCTCTCTGTTCTTCTCCTTTCTCCAATTTTCCTTTGTATTTTATAAAACCACCAACCTTTCCTTTCTTCCTCCCATAATTTTTGCCACTTTTCCTTCATTTTTTGTTTTATTATATCCTTTATTTCTGTTATACTAAACCTAACATTATATCAACCATGTCCTGACTGGTGCTCTCCTTAGCCATCCTGTCTGCCTTTTCATTCCCCATAACCCCGTGATGTGCTGGAACCCATGTAAAGTTTACTGTGATCCCCATCATGTTGATCCTATAGAGTGTTTGTTGTATTTCTATTAATATATCTAGTCTACTATCTGACTGGTTGTGTTGTAAACTGGACAATGATGAACTAGAATCTGAGCAGATGATTGATTTTAATGGTCTTAACTCTGAACTGCTAAAAGTAAAGCAGCATTTCTCCTGTATAAACTGTAGTGAACTAGGCCTCCGACATCAACCTGTCTCTGAAGACCTTCAGGGGACAGGAACTGCTATTTCATTGATTTGAATCCAGAAATACAAATTCTCATCAAGAGACTATTTAATTGTATCCTGAATTAATCAATTGAAAGAACACTCTTCTTTTTACATTATCAGTACTATTTTACAATATCTTGATAATCAAAAGTGTGTTTAGTTCATACCATTTCTAATGTTGAAGTGAACCACTCATTTAAATCAACTGTGAAACAGTATTAATGATTTTTAAACCTCATTAGACTTTGATCATACAGTTAAATGTCTATTTACGAAGTAAGTGTGCATTTAGTCTTCTGTCTGAATGAGGGTAGTGATGTCGGTCGAAAGTCAGAGACAAACATCCATCCATTATCTTTACCCACTTATTCCATTTTGGGTCACGGGGGTCGCTGGTGCCCATGTCCAGCAATCACTGTGCGAGGGGCGGGGTACACCCTGGACAGGTCTCCAGTCCATCACAGGGACACATAGAGACAAACGAGACAAACAACCATTCACTCTCTCACTCACACCTAGGGACAATTTAGAGTTACCAATCAGCCTAACATGCATGTTTTTGGTCTGTGGGAGGAAACTGGAGTACCCGGAGAAAACCCACACATGCACGGAGAGAACATGCAAACTCCACCCAGAAAGACCCCTGGACCGGGGTTTGAACCAGGGACCTGCTCGCTGAGAGGCAGCAGCTCTACCAGTTGCGCCACCGTGTTGCCCAGAGACAAACAGAGACGAGTTATTAGAACGAAGTGTCTTGTTTTTAAAACTAGCAGACAGTAAATAACTTCAACTGGCACCTGCTTTGTCTCACATCGTCATAACATTTCTCCGTCTGTACTAACCGTTCTTAAACATTCCTGCTGTCTCCTGACTCCTAGTGACCCTCTGACATCACTAGAACCACACCCCTGCTGGTTGTTTCAACCAATCAGGAAGTACCACGTAACAGGAAGTGTATACCCCTTTAAAGGAACACTTAGTGGAACTACCCAGTTCGGTCCTGAAGTTCGGTCCTGGAGTTCAGTGCTGGAAGTTCGGTCCTGCAGTTTGATCCTGGAGTTCAGTCCTGAAGTTCGGTCCTGGAGTTCAGTGCTGGAACTCAGTCGGAGTCTTAAGTCTTAGGGCTAAGTCTTCAGAACTTGGAGCGGATGGATGGGACCATGTGCCAAGGGGTCCCTCCCTTTAACGGAGTCACGGCTCGCATCGCTGTGCACTCAACCCGAGCAGTAAATGCGCCACTTCTAAGGAAGCTTATTCGGTGGAACTGAGTATATGCATTTATTCTAAAGATTCCTAGCGACTTTAACCGGAGACGCTGTAAAGGGATCGTACTAATGGACTTCTGTTCCGGAGTGGATGTATCCCCCATCTAAGGTAACAAAGTCGCTGCACGTCCTGAAGTGTACCGGAAAGCTGAGCGGGTGTCGGAGGAAGGGTGCAAAGTTCTGGTTTCACACATAGCTTCCATCTAAACCTCTTTAAATCTTTAAACACTTCTATTTCTCCTCTTTAACTTTTCTTTTCGCCAGTTATCTCGATGCCTTCAGAGATGAATCAGTCTCAATCCGTAATGTTCTGTTGTCTTGTTAGTAAATCGTGCCAAGTTTTTATTAATCAGGAACAGATCAGCAAATCAATGTGTACATGTTCTGATGTTAAATTTTGATTCTGTTAAATAAATGACTGCATTTATTCTGATAGGTCAAAGATAAAATGGCGTCTCATGTCACTGATTAAACATCCCACTCACAGTTATCTCGGTCACATGGCAGAAATTTAACTCGAAAAAGAAAGAATCTGTTGTAATTAAACAATTAATATTATTTGTGCTTGAACTAGCTTTAAGAATAATTAATTAGTAGTGAAGTTAACAGCTACATTACTACAAAACCGATACTCCATCACTAACCCTTTTTACTACTTTAACATGAAATTGTGGTACAATGAATGCAATCCCAATTTTATTAGTTGTATTTTTAGATGCGTCTGTGTATATATGTACATAATTATAATACTGGTTAATGTACTCCTGTACTGTATATTTATCCATAATAAAAGATTTATTCTTGTTTTTCTTTTCTAATAATGAAAAATCTACTATTGCATCAGGAAGTACCCAAGGTGGTGTTGTTGGTAATGGAACTTTCTGACATATATCTAGTTGATCTAAATGGATTTCATTAACTTTGGCTTTTATCATCCACCCAAAGCTTTTGATTTTTTCTTGTCCCAACCTGATTTAAGCACCTCTAATGTTGGATGATCATTTCTTTGACCTTGTAAATTTGTCCAGTAGTTCAAAGACAGCTGTTCCCTTCTAAATTTAAGAGGCATTTCTCCCATTTAATGTATATATTTAGTGTTATATTTAACACTTTCCTACATTTATCTATTATTTTCTTAATGTGTACACCCCATGTGATTCTTTCATCAAACCACAACCCGAGAAATTTACATTCTTTAACTCTTTCCAACTCCTGACCATATAATTTTAGCTTGAGTTTCTCATCAACTCTTTTCCTTGTTAAGATCATTATTTTAGTTTTATCTACAGAAAATTCAACTCCCCATTTATACGACCATTTCTCTACAACTGAAATTGCTCCCTGAAGTTTCTTTATAATAAATTCTAGATTTCTTCCTCTTTTCCACATTGCCCCATCATCAGCAAAAAGTGAAAATCCCATTCCACCCTCTACTTCCTTATACATATCATTAACTATCACTGAAAATAATAATGGACTGACTATACTACCCTGTGGTGTCCCATTTTCTATATTACAACTCTCAGAATAATCCTTCCCTATTCTCACTTGTATTTGTCTTCCTTCTAAAAAAGTCTTAATCCATCTAAACATATGACCATTGATAGCCATTCTTCTAGTTTTGATTAATAATCCTTCCCTCCACATCATATCATACGCTCGCTCTATATCAGAAAATACTGCCACAACACTCTTTATTCACTTGAGCCTTTCTAATTTCATGCTCTAAACATAAAACTGGGTCCATTGTACTTCTCCCTCTCCTGAAACCACTCTGATACTTTGACATAAGTCCTTTATTTTCCATATAATATATTAATCTTTCATTGATCATTTTCTCCATTATTTTACATATGTTGGATGTTAATGCTATAGGTCTATAATTTCCTGGTTTTGACTCATCTTTCCCTGGTTTTCTAATTGGTACAATCACTGCTTCCTTCCAACTTTTTGGAATTTCCCATCCTCCCATACTCGGTTATATAATTCTAATAGAATATTTTTAGATGATCTACTTAAATTACTTAGCATCGCGTAACAAACCTGATCTTTTCCTGGAGCTGACAATTTATATTTTTTAAGTGCTCTATTCAGCTCTGTTATTGTAAACAGCATGTTCAGTGAATCATTTGTGTTTTCTATTTGCTCCAATACCTCTTTGTTTTCTAAAATTGTCTTTTCTCTTCCTTTTTCCCTTCTTCATTAATATTTTCAGAACTATGAATTTTAACGAAAGTATTTACCAACATTTCTGCCTTTTCTCTGTCTTTCACTGCTGTTAACTCTCCATCATTTAGTATTGGGTATCCATTCACTCTTTTAATCCCATTCATCCTTTTAATCATTGTCCATACCTTAGAAATGTCCGTCTCCCTCCCTACTGAATTACAAAAACTTCTCCAATAACCTCTCTTTGCAGTTTTAATAGTTCTTCTTACATTTGCTGCAGTTTCTTGTACTCATTCAGATTCTGAAAGTTATGATTTCTTTTTAATAATTTGAAAGCTTTATTTCGGTTCTTAATCACTTTAGTACATTCTGTTGTCCACCATGATACCAACTTTCTTTCCTTTTCCCTCCTTTCTTCCTTATAGCCTGATTGGCTGCTTCAAGGATATCATTACATACAGAAGAATTAAAGTTGTCAATACTACCACTTATATCTACATTTTGCATTTTTATTTCACTACTATTCCGATAAGTTTTCCAATCTGCAGATCTAAAACACCATTTTTCCATCCCATTTATACAATATTTTTCTATTTGTAACTTTATTTCAGTCATGATAGGGTGATGATCACTTCCTATAGTTGTTTTATTGATTACTTGCCATAAACAAATACCTGCTAGAGAATCTGAAACTAATGTTAAATCAATTGCTGACATTGTATTATCTCTCAAATTAATTCTCGTTCCACTCCCATCATTCAAACATACCAAGTTTGTAGCATCCATTATTTCTTCTATTATAGCTCCATTTTGATCATTATGATTACTCCATAATGAGTTATGCCCATTAAAGTCCCCACACCAAATCACCTTACCCTCTAAATATGTCCCAAGTTCCTCCATTAAGTCTAATGTAAGTTTTTTACATGGATTATAAAAATTTATTATTTTAAATTGTCCATTTATTGTCCATATTTCAATAACAATATATTCTAACTCTCTACCTTTAAATTGAATCCCGTGTTTAATGAATGTTATACAGCCTCCTCCAGATCCTCCCTCTCTGTCTCTTCTAATGTTTTCATATCCATTTATAACAAAATCAAGGTTTGGTTTAAGCCAAGTTTCCTGATGCATATAATATCTATATGTTCTTTGAATTCTTTGATAAATCCTTTAAACTCCTGCCCATTTGATATTAGACTTCTAGCATTCCACTGTAAGATGATCAGTTTGTTCTGTCTTCTGCTCCTCCTGTCTTCCCTTCTGCTCCCAGTCTCTTATTTATGTGCTCCCAGTCTCTTATTTATGTGCTCCCAGTATATATCCTTTATACCAACAAACCTCTCTGCCCCTTTCACAATTATTTTGATTTTTTCTGTTGTGTGTTTTACTTGCTCTGTACAATTAATTCCATGTGCAATGAACAGCATGATCTTTTCTACTGTCAGTTCTGTGTCAGGTCCAGTCTGCCTTTGTTCTGGTGTTGGTTTTGGCTGAACTTTACCTGGCACCTCTTTTGGCTTCTTCACTCTCTGAACAGCTTCTGCATAACTTATATTATTAGTGACAGTGAGTCAGGGTTTACCAATCAAGAAATCTGTCAGGAGGGTGATCAGTCTTACATCGGGGAAACTAAACAGCCACTGGCCAAAAGGATGGACCAGCACAGAAGATCAACATCATCAGGCCAGGACTCTGAGGTCTACACTCATCTCCAGGCCAGCGGTCACTCTTTCAGGGATGAAGATGTTCACATCCTGGACAGAGAGGAACGATGGTTTGAGAGAGGAGTAAAGGAGGCCATCTTTGTGAAAAGAAACCGTCCATCATT